TGCGGGCAAGTCACCGTAGCCATGGAGTGCTGACCCTGACCTTCGTCATCCAGGAAGTCGAGGACCGCTTCCGAGTCTTCCGCCCAAGCATGGGACAGACTGCAGTGGACCGGGGGGAGCACGGAGACCCCTCCAGCCTGCAGTGTCTTCTTAGTCATTCGTAAGGCCCGACTTAATTTTTGAAGCAAACTAATGAATTCAGTGTGAGGGGCAGCCAAGAAGACCCAGAGCATCATCCCCATGGTGACGCTGCGGTGCAGGCCAGACCTGTACAGCATTCTGAATAAATACATATTTCTTAGAAACCGACCGACGTGGCAGGAAAACACCTCGTTCAAGTTCTGAACATGACATGGTACGGCCTGTCAAGTAAACCTGCAATCAAGGGACGGGCTGGTCATAATGATGAGCGACCCAGGCTGGTTGAGCATCAAGCGCATGACGGATTCAAAGTCTGGGTGACGCATGACCTACAGTTTGAATCGGCTCTTAATTTGACACAACCTGCACTGCTAAGTAGTACTAAGTAAGAATGCATGTACATGCGACTTAGAAATATTCTGATCAATCAGGATTAGCTGCCATGATAGGGTCGTCTACCCCAGACTGCACTTGCCAGGGGCTCCGTGCTCGCCCGCTCCAGGGTGCCCTGCCAGTTTTTAGGAGTTTAGGGTTTGTAATAATATAATTCATAGTATATTATTATAAGGGTGCAGAGTTAGCGCCAGGGTTTAAGTCCAAGCAGCCCGGGCATCAGCCACTCCAGATTGAAGTGCTTGACGCTGATGTCGCGCCTATGTGACAGCCTGATCCAAAGGTCTCCGGGGTGGCGGTGGTTGTGGCCTCGCACCTCTGCTGAACTTGGCATCCGTATCCCTTTCTTATTAGACTCAGGGGGACTTACTATAGTTAGTACCCAAAAACCAAAGGTAATTCCGAGTGCCCCTAAGTCACGACAGAAGGAAAATATTCCTCAGAGCCGCTGCTGGACATCGTCAGGATGCCGACCCTGGACCCAGCGAAATCCTGACTACTAAATACTATACATAACACACTACTAACGCAGATCGTAAACAATAAGTGCGGCAAACCCGGTTTCAGAACCATGTCCTCCCAGTTCGACAGCAGGAGCCTGGCCTCCCGCATTTCTTGCAGGCTGGATCTTGCTCCAGAGTCGAACTCTCGGAGCCGACCAGCTGACGCAGACTCATTGGGTCTTGAAGTCATCGTTGGTCTTCCTGAACTTGATAAACGAAACAGATGACAAGGGTTATAGTAAGCTACTGAAACCGTTATGCTACACATTGAAAGTGCTACTCATTTAACTGGTCCCAGATGCTGCTTCAGCGTGCGTATGATGGAGTTGATAAACCAGCCGTTGGGATTATTCTTCTGTCTGCGCTGACTCTCTCTGACCTAGACTGACAAAGACGCAGACACCTAGGACAAAGATTTCCTAAATCTAGAGTAACGAAAGAACACAAACGATTTCTGAGCCTAACGATGGCGAGGAACAAGGTCCTGCAGCGCCGCAGGGTCGACCTCGTTCAGGAGGGCGAGACCCTGAGTCGTCTAATGTCATTGTGTGCCTGTGTGTGTCTCTCTCTCTTCTTAGTCTTTTCCTGTGTTAATTTACATGCCGGGAGACTTGCACAGCGCCCCGACGAAGACCCTGATCGTCGGCTACCTTTCGGATGTCGTCTGGCAAGTGGTTGTAGCCGACGCTGGACGATCCTTCGTCCCCAGGGCGAACGGCCATGCGCGAGGCAATCCCTGCTACAGGACCGCCGACACCGACCTTCTGTGAAGTGAAATGTTGCGTAATGTCCTTGCCATTCAGTCATTCATGGTGAGCAAAACTGTCAGCAATGGAGAGCCACTGGCACTTTATTATGTGTGTCTGTCTCTGTCTGTGTGTGTCCGACATGGAGTTCAAGCTGACAACTGAAGCTGACACCGACAGGCAGGGGCCCTCCTTTGATGCTGACAATGACTGCTGGCAAAGGGGCTGACAGCTGACAGCTGAGACATGTTCTACCTGACACTCACACTGCAGTGCAATATGTGTGTGATGTCAGTCAGGACAAAAGCTGGCAACTGCATGCAAGGGAGGGGGAAGCACCTCTGCAGTAAATGATCGCCCTCGTCCAAGATTCCAGGATGGCGCTGCCGCTTCATGACCTCAGCAATCGAATGTTTGACCAAGTTTGTCAACTGACAATCACAGGCTGACTGCAGAACATTTGACAAAGTTACATTGTCGGCAGACAACAGACACAGGAGCACTGCAGGCCTGTTATGACCTGATAACCGTTTCAAACTAAGGGGGAAGCACCTGTAACGACAAAGGAGGTCGTCCCGGATCGGAATGGTATCAGTCCTGACCTCAGTATCACAGGGGACCGAGTGTTTGACTGATGTCAGGACAAAGTAGTCAGACCGACACAGATGAGTCGCTGACCACATCGACGAGCCGACCTCAGGCAGGCACGCATCAATGCTGAATGCACTTACTTGACACTAAGTCTGTCTGTGCTGCACTCAGCAATGCAACGCAGGTGCAAGCAGCTTTTTCCCACAACTGATGCAGATTCCCGCCGGCCAGCTAGTGATCGATTCCAGGTGGACCGACACCGAGCCCGACGTCAGAAGACGCTGGGGCCGACTCAGTTTCTGAGTCAGTGCCATAGTCCTTGTGCAGAACGGTTATGCTGCTAAGCCTCTCAGGCGTCAGTTCCTGACGCAGACCTTCGAATCTGCACAACCGCGAACTGCGGGCTCTGACAAAGAAAAGCGAAAAACCTCTGTTGAGGTTCCGCACTTTCGTGTCCCACGGCACAAATCGCCCGTTCGGCGGGGCGACGCTGCTGTCGTGGTGAGGGCCCAGGCTCAGGAGAGACGACGGCGACCCAGGAGCTGACGGCATGTCCGCGTCCGACTGAAGCAGGCTGCTAGCAAACAAGATTTCGAACCAAAATCTCCGACAATGCTGCCGGGGTGCCACTGCCGGAGTCAGTGGAACCTCCTCATCGACGCCGACACTGCTGGTCTGGACAAAGCCAACCTGGATGGCAGCGCCAGGCACACCAACCATCCCTACCACATACTTACTTAAATAATTACGCATGCGCATGAACCTGGCATGCCCACAGCCGCTCGTCAGGGCCATACCAGTGAGCCATGTCGAAGTAGCACGCGATGTCTTCGATCATCTTAGTCTACAAGGCTAAGGTCTAAGCAGGTTGGACCCCCGAATCCCAACACTGACTGACATCGCTCAACCTAACAGCTGCTTTGGCGACGGGGGGCAGTGTCGGGGTCCGCAAGCTCGACACTGATGTTGCTGCCCGCCGGGGTCACAATGTTAAGGACGACCGGCCCGACAGGCTGAGGCTCCGTCATGGCGGCTGACAGCTGACTATGTGTTTGAAGCTGACGACGGCTGCATCAATTCGGTCTTGGAGTGTCAAGCTCACTGACTGAAGAAGAAGCTGAGCCCCTGGCTGATGGAGGTGCTCAGCGATGGCCCGGCTGCGGCTGCTGGCTGGGCTGGTTTTGGGTGGCTGGTGGCTGACGCTGACACTGACAGACGTATTGTGGTGCGCATTTGTTATAGTGAAAAATGAGGGCCCCCAGTGCAATTTCAATTTCCCGCCTGCCCCCCCCATATCCTTTCCCCATCCCATACAACTCTCAATCAGCTCCATTTCGACTTACAATCAACTCCACCCAAGCCCAGAAAATCAACTGTAAAAAGAAGTTTTCAGGAATGTGTCATTGACCCCTTAACGCAGCAGTCTGTAGTAGTAGTAGTTGTTGTTGTTGTTGTTGTTGTTGTTGTCGTCGTGTCGTCGCAGTAGTAGTATCAGTAACCGTGGCAGCAGCCGTAGCAGTAGTCGCAATACTAGTCGTCGTCACCACAGGAGGGCGCGGAGGAGGAGGAGGAGGAGGAGGAGGAGGAGTTGGAGCAGGAGCCAGCAGCAGCAGTGGTAGAAGCAACTCTCACCAGCTATATCGTAGTACCGCTAGTAAACGTACTGCTACTGATACTACTGAAACCGCTACCACCATGACCACATGTAGCAGTCCAGGCAGCTTCTTGAGCAATTGCTGAAGATCAGGTTTCGATCGTGCAAAATGGAAGGTCGCTCCAGGTCAGGGCCAGTGCGGGCATCTAGTTTGCCGGCTCTTTTGAATAAGCCCATGAACCCATCGAAATGAGACTTGGTTCTAGGTTTGGCCGGTGAAATTCTAGCGCGGGCCTGTGAGGGCATTGGGTGCGAACGTCCGCAAACAAAGACCATGGCCCCAGCGTCCTCATTCGTGCGCTGCCGGCGTGTTTCATCATTCGTCCAGACATGCTCACGTAAGTGCCGTGCGAGAAGACGAACAACATGCTCGCCGACCTCTTCGATGAGGTCTTGCACATACACCTGGAGAAGGCCGGCAGATCCGTACTACAGGTAAGAACACCCACAGCATCTTGGCCTGCCTTCCGGTCATCGTGATCTCGCGAGAAGGCGACATGGACAGAGAGCCAGTTGCTGAACGTTGACCACTCCTCACCGTACAAGAAGTCGCCGTCTTGATGCCGGAATCCAAGGAATAGCAGATCCTGCTTTTCCCGCTATCCCGTAAGTATGCAGGATCGTTGAGGGAAAGAATGCTTCGGGTTTTGCCGGCCTTGCGCCAGTCAGGCAGCTTTTCAGAATCTGCTGACTGCATGCGCTGAAGATGCCTGCAGGACAGACATGCCTTTCGGCGAGCTGCTAGAAAAAGATCAGCATTCTCAACGCCTCTGCTGCACCAATGCTCGGCAAGGCGATAGCCCCGTGCCAGGGCAAACCATTAGCAACGGCACCTGCCATCGATTGGCTGACTCACACTGTCTGGCAGTCTTCGGTGGCCCGGTCAAGCATTCAGTTATGGACCCAACATCTCCGACACCTACAAACCTTCAGAAACTTTACAGAAATCAGTGCAAATCCCGAGCTCTAGGATCACGCCGACTGTGGCACATCTGGCGGGGGAAGCTTCAAGCTTCCCTCCTCAAGGCTGCACTGGACGCCTCGGAAACACAGATTGTAGGAAACATGGAGTCCATGCCTGTGCTGTCTGGCTTGCTCCATATCGCCCTGGTGTTCCATAGGATAATTACGACTCAAGTGACCCACAAAATGCCCTAATTACCCCCTCTCTCTCTCTCTCTCTCTCTCTCTCTCTCTCTCTCTCTCTCTCTCTCTCTCTCTCTCTCTCTCTCTCTCTCTCCTTCTGGCACTCGATGATATCGATGCGAAGTGCTGGAGCTGGACGCAGAGGTAGGCTGCCAGACTAAATGTAGCCCAGGAACGCGCACCAACCACAGCATCCTTCAAGAAGTTGCTACCTGAATTGGCCACAATCCGAGAGGAAGGATGGCTGCAACGGGTAGTTTGAGGAGGCATGTCGATACACGAAAACTGGTGATATGAGGGTTTTGTAGCCTCCTGCATTAGGATCTTCAGGAGTAAGGGCCAATGGGTGCAGGGAAGACAAGGGTTCGTGAGTAGCGTGCATGAGCACGTTCCAGCTCTTCGATGACACAAGGGGTCTTTGTACACCCAGTTCTGTTAAACAAGGCTTATACGTGACAAGAGGTCTCGTTAGACCAGAGGTTGTGTCAGAACAAAGGGTTCAGTTGGACAAAGCACGTTCTGTTCGACAAAAGTTCTATTTAAAAGCTAAGATCTTAATTGACTTGGCTTGGTTTGGCTTGCACTACAAAAAACGAACTATACTCTTGAGATTTAGACGGCAGATAGACCGATCGATTAGGTAGCACGCGGATCGGTAGATAGATGAGCCGGACAAGCTGAAGTTGAACAACCATACTTGATGCCTGCAGCTGAAATTTCTGTCAGATTTTGCACGTGCAAACTTGGAAGGAAGCTTGAGGCAGATCAGGGCCGGCCTCTGGATTGAAGGAACTTGGAAGCTGAAAACGAAAGCAGCAGCCATGGCACACAGCCCCTTGACTTCGCGATTGCTCCTTGTGACAGAGTTCACGATACCGACGCACAGGTCCTTGGATTCGGCCACGCAACGTATCCACGCAACCGAATTGAGATGCACAGAGTTCTTCCAAATCCGGCTGCCGGCATGGCATTACTAGTGACTATAGACCCACCAGGACAGGACAGGGCGCAAGCTGCAGAGGCGAAGCTTTGGCACCCTGCTCTTCCAGGACGCGCCCAATAGCGGTGGAGCCCAAACCATCCTCAAAGGTTCAATGAGCGAAAGACGACAAGGGCCGTCAGATGGCAACAAGGAGGCAGCTGATTGAGCAGCTTGACAAATATCTCTGAATTCAGTGCGCGATGCTCGGAGACCCGGCTTATTTGAAGGTCGGGAATTCAACATACCTTTCTTCGCTGACTTCTGTTTCATGCCGCTTCACCTGGACGACCCCTTGCCACACCTCTCAACGTGGCGCAACATCATCACACTATGTCCGCTGTACATAAAAATAGCTGACAAGTCCATGCTGGGGATCCTCATGGCTTCTCTAGCAGATGTTGTCTTACAGAAAGACTTACCCTTGAGCACTTGATGGCCATCTGTCCGAGGGGACATCACTGCTGTAACTAGCTGTCCACATCTTCGGGCAGTGTATCGTTGACCTTGCGTCCCTCAGAGATGAAACTGCGGACAAACTACAATGCAGCAACGCAGTTTCCCGGCCTCTCTGAGACAAAGGTGTTCTTGCCACGGCCATGCTCCGAGTCTTCCGGTCGGCCACGGTCTTAGCGGTAGTGGTCGGATCCACCTTCAGCTGCCGCGCTGCTGGCGGTGCAAAAACCCGGCTGACTCGCAAATGCGCTGAAGCCCAGGGTTCACGCCCGTGATTGCCCCTCCTTCTCTCTATCTATCTCTCTCTCTTGCTTGCTTGCTTGCTAAGGGTATGGGGCCCTGGGCACCCCTGGCCCCGAGGCCTACCCTTCCAGGCTCGCGTCCGAGAGTCGGTACGGCCCCTGCCGGGGTTGAGAGGACCCCAGTTCCCCCACCTGCGCTTGATACTCCCTCCCCAACCCCGAAGAACACCCCTCCTAAACCAGGACCACAGCACCCCGGTCAAGCTCAGGTAGGTCGTCCATCGGTCCCTCCAGGCAGATCTACCGAACAGTGTCGCAGTCCCCGTGCTCCCGGGGCGTTTCCCCCAACAGTCACCTCTTCCCAAAAGGTACCAACAGCCTCAAAGTAACGACTGCACAATGCATCCTGCACACAAACCGCTGACCCTAGTTTTGGACTGCACTGTTCGCCGCTCCGTGGAGTCAAGTTTGCAAGGCTAAACCAAAAAGCTCTACCAGGGTTCACCTACAAATTACAAACATACAATCGGATCCACGCCGCTTGGGGCACTGTTACAAGGCTGGCTCGGAGGCAGGTTCAAACACCCGAGCTGTAGCAAAACACGCAGGGCCCCTGCAGGGCACCTTTATGTACGGTCAGGGCCACGTTACGGATCGAATGGATCGAACGGAAGGATGGGACAAAGCCCCGCGCGCGGGGGTTTCACGTCTCTCTACGATTCACCCCCTGCGGATCGAAGTTGAACGGACTGGGAAGAGCCCAGTTGGAATTAAGAAGTTGTTCTTGGGGTTCGGCGTCTCTCTATACCCTTCTCCACTTGGTTTAGTCGGAAGTCGTGGGATTAGGGCCCCCGGGACCGAGTATGGTACAAGATTTCGCGGCGGGTTTGTTCGGAAATAAAACATACCCGAAAACTGCAGGTGCCTGCCAAAGAAGAAAGAAAACGGACTGAAGTCGCCACTCATCAAAAGCTCCAACCCCGGCAACCCAAAACCAAATCCCACAGAGCACCGCTAGAAGCAACAAGTGCAAGACGACGTCAGCAAAGTCAAAAACATGCAAGTCACGCCACTCTCACTCCCAGCTCACTGTTCACTTAGCTACAAAGGAGACCAGATGCTCCAGTTAGACCACGTAGTCCCACAGGGACGATTTCGCAACGCCAGAGATAGCCAGGATGGAACAGCAGTGAAATCATGGAGCCGGCATGACATTACTTCCCAGATTTCTCCCTCCAGCTGTTGCGGCAGTCACGGCTCCAATCGCATGGGGCGCGAACGTCAAGGAGCCCCAGATCTGGTCGGCCACAAAGTGCCCCTTCCCCAATGCTGCGGACGAAAGCGCTCCAGCAGGACTTCCAGGGCGAGCGAACGGAGATGATGGCGGCAGCTGCATTGCCTTCTGTATGGCGGCGCAGACCGTCAGGACAAACCCCTGGGCCGCTGGATCCAACAGCTGCGGCGTGAGGCTCAAGCCTCGCTCCACTCAGAAGAACGTTCACCCCCCGAGAAGGCAGAGGCCACTCTCTGCCAACTCGGGGGGCCGTCTTCGAGTGCCCCCCCACAGGGAAGGAGCGGCAGGTCGAGATGAGCCAAAATGGCTACTCTCTATCTCTCTCTCTTTCTTTCGCCAGGGTTAGGGTGCAGAGGTTTCCCTCTACACCCCGCGTAAGCACCCCCGACTGTTGGGGGGTGAGCAAGTTGCAAACGCATGCCCTCGGCACAGAGTGCCCTAGTGAAGCGCTACTTCCCTCAGCAACTGCAACATTCGAATTACGGTAGAAACTACGATCAGCGTCGGTGTGCCTTTTGAAACCATTCACGGAGAAACCCAAACCACAAAAGGCAACAGATCAAGAAACTAACCCCAACTAGAAAGGTTTCGGCACATTCTGACGTCCAGGGGCGTCCCCCTCGCAAAAGAAAGGCGTCGTGAAACTCGTCACGAGTGTGCTGTAGGAGGAGTTGGAGGTTGTGCCGGTTAACTGGGTAAAAAGCAGCAACGAAATTGCAAGAGTACGGGATGCAAGGACGAAGACAACATACTCGGCACTTGTACGGCACGCCTCCCCGCGGGTAAAAGTTTGGTTACAGCTGGGTTCTACTTACCTGGTTTGACTCTCTCTCTCTCTCTCTCTCTCTCTCTCTCTCTCTCTCTCTATATGTATATATAGAGAAAGAAAGATAGTAGTCCCCAGTCACAAAGTGCAGGCCTCGGGGAGGATGCGATGGAGTAGCGCCTGCAAAAAAGTGCTCGGAGCAGCGCGATTCGCGCAGGTCATGTCATGTTGAGAGGATGCTGGCGCCCTATGAAAGGACGGGGGCGTTCGGCGCTGTGTCCCCGATGCTTACTGTACTAGTCGGATATTGCTCTTGCTGGCATGCTGGTAAGAAGCATCCAGCAACTCCGTGCGAGAAATGCACTTGACTGGCGGAAGTTTCTAGCATGTTGATCCCCTGCAGCTGTGAGGAGTAAAGTGCTTGTGGACTTGCGGTCAAACCAGCTTGAAAAAGCAGCAACCTCTGCAGAACGAGTGTCATGCTACAGTCTTTCAGCCCACCCGTCCAAAGTGGCTAGTGAAGCAGCAAAGCCCAACGTGCAGTAAAACCTCTGTAGAAGTTGAGAGTTCTAGCTTCTACGGCAGTTAACCTGCACGCTCTGCACAAAGAAATGAAATGTGCCAAGGTGGCTTGTGATATTTTCTGCATGTGACAAATACGAGTCAGTCAAGCACCCATGCGATGTAGTGGTAGTGATCGTCATGAGAGGGCTTCCTCTTGGGCTTCCCTCTTCCTGGCTCAACCGGTTTAGGTCCAGGACCTGCTGAACTTTTCTGTTGCAGAAATGGTTCGCACATGGGCATCTTGCGATTCACAGTGCCGAGGTTGCTGCTGGCGCCTGGGTCGCAACAGCGGCAAGGCACTGATCAATGCGCGCAGCGGCGGCCGAGCTGTCCAGAAATCCCACATGACCTGTGCAGGTGGCAAGCCCACCACTGCCACGGCGCCACTGCACCGTTGAGTTTCTGACCCAAATTGACATGTTACAGCCATAGCAAATCAAACAAAAAAACGACACTGGAACTCTCTGCGAACATCCCCCTTGACTCCCCCATGGTATGCCATAGAACAATGAAGAGTGCCTAGCTAGAGTCTAGAGTGCAACACGATCCCGCAATCAACCGCGCAACACTCTTTGGTTCGGATTCGGACGAAAGATGAACAGTTGGGCACCGAAAGACAGCAGCGCTCTGTGGTGAAAGACTTATATGCAAGTGCTGTTTGATTCTCCGTGGATCTTGATGTTGGCTATCTCTTTCTTTCTTTCTGCAGGGCGTACGCTCTTCTTCCCCGGGGCATGAGGGGAGTTCGAAACCCCTCGGCCTCGTAGGCCGCCCGATGTTTGTAGGGGCTTGTGGAGGAGTGTGAGAAGGTGAATGTCTTCCCCCTGGGTTTATTAAGTTTGCTGCGACAATAGTTTCAGCTTTCGGTTTGAGGTCCCCCAGTGTTGTTCATTCACTTTGACACGGCACTCAGCATGCCTTGGGGATGTTGTGCACCTTTTTCACGGCCCCCTATTCTCCAATACAGATAGGTACACTCGAGTTCACTTTGGCACACATCCCCCCTCGGCTTGACGCATACTTACGTTCCGGCCACACGCGTTGCTTAAACAAAGCAAGCTGGTCTGCTAGGGCACCCTACGGTCACATAGGGGCACTTTATAAGGAACCTCTTCAGACTGGCTTGTTCAGGGGTCTTGACCGGAGGATGAAAATCATGCACGAGATTGCGGTTGCAATTTAATTATCAACAGTTTGAGTGTTTTCGCGGGTCTATGCGTGCCATCGGATACTGTCTGGCTGCCTGAAGAAACAAAGGCGTTCTCTTTCTTTCACAAGGCTTGAGGGCGCGCCCCCGCCCGGAGGGCTGCCCCTTGTTGGCGGCTCGCACGGTATTACGTGCTCTGGGCTACGGTTACCGATCACTGTTGACAACAGGTACACTGAGCTATGCTGGTTGGTAGTGTGTCGGTAACTCCAGGGGTTCTTCAGCAGGTGTTCCGCCCCGATGGTGTCAGGTGTGTGCAGCATATGACATGTTGTATAGTGCCTGACTCCTCGGTTGAGCACCCCTCTTCAAATCTCCATGCCTCGACTATCACAGCAAACCAAGTTAACGAAGGTGGTGAGAGGCCTGGAGACTGCAGCAAAAAGGGGACTTTCGCCCCGGAGGCTGTCGCGCTTATGGTGTAGTTGGGCCCCGGGCTGGTATGGCAAACAAGTGTGGAGTGGTGTTCATTAGCTGGCGCCCCGAGTACAGGAACCAAACAAAGAGCCTACAAACTCGTGCAGTTCACAGTATGGGGTCACCAGTCGTAAGCATTCGCCCCTGGGCCTCGTTGTGTTACGGACCTGGCTTCGGACTGAGGACTCTGGGCTGGGTTGCAGTAGCCTACAGTTAATGTCATCATGACCCACGTGCCAATGCCCCTTAGGTGCGAAAAACAAAACGACGAGGGTCTAAGGAGCCTGAGGCGTTCTCTCTCTCTCTCTCTCTCTGCCGTTGCATCCAGAAGGTCTATCTCATGGTATTCCATACAGCTTCCCTCGCCCAAACCGTGAAGTGCTGTAGACTCCGTGAATCTCCGTGAGCTTAAACCGACTGTCGCAGAAACTCGGCTTCAACCGCCGGCGTGTGCAAGAATGATGGATCATAGCCAGTTTCAGGGACCCTGCTAACGGCGCACACGCTGTGTGACCCAAGCGCGCAGCTATCTTCGTGCACGTGTTGCTCGCGTGTGCGTGCGCATGGGCGTGTGCGCGTGTGTGTCTGTGTGTGCGGGCGCGTCCGTGCCTGTCTGTGGGCGTGTCCGTATACTATATATGTGTGTCTGTGTGAGGGCGCACGTGTGCGGGCACGCGGGCGTACGTATGCACGGGGGTGTGTATGTGTGTGCACCTCCTGTACCAATTTGGGATGTAGAAAAAAGACTGTGGTGCCGGGGTATTGCAGTTGCAGCGCCAGTTTTATCCTCACCACAAGCAAGGTCACGTGGAACTCATGTTAGTATATCACATACCGCAAAGCTGTAGACATAAGCGGGAAGCGAGAACAGATCATTCTCGCGTACCTGCACAGAGTCGCACACGCTTGGGGACTCGTTATAGTGATTACGCAGAGAGCGCAATGTAACGATCAAGCACAAACAGCATCCATCTAGGTAAGGATGACTGATGTGCAAGTGTATGGTATGAGCGAGTGAGTGACTGAGCGAGGGTGGGTGGGTGGCTGGCTGGATGGCGGCCGGGGGGTGCATGTGCACGAATGCAATTTCTTGTTATTTCTTGTCTTATGGCACATGCACGCAAACACGAAGGAACGGGCAGTAGCAAGCAGTCATGCAAGAACCTAGCACGCACCTCAGCAGCCGACCGGCGCTCACGCTTGCAGTACCTCATAAAAGTCCAGATGCAGTGCAGTGCAGCACCGGCCTACAGATCCGGCCCAGTGACTCGTACAGTGCATCCTTTGCTTCAAGAGAGCGTGATGCAAATTCGCCTCGGGAACGGAGCTGCAAGGAAGAGTCTGCTTGGGGCTTTTGATTCAGAGTCGCGCAGCGGGCAAAGATAGAGATGCTTGCACAGATTCGTGCGGCACCTCGTCCACACTCGCAGGCATGGGGATGGGGTGGCCATGCCGCCAAGTCTCTAAGCTTCTTTTTATGGAGCTCATCCTGGGTGTGGAGGGACAGCCTGAGACTGGCACTTACAATCGGGGAAAACGGAGTGCAAACCCCACAGCCATCAAATCAAACTTCCGATGCAACCCATGGCCCCAGAACATGACCGTAAGGCAAATGCCAGATATTTTGCCAGGCCGCCAAATTGTTGGGGCGGGGTGTCCTAAGCCATCCTCGGGGTAGCTGCAAACCAACCTTTACTGGTAGCCGCTGTGTGCAGCCGGTGTGGCACGTGGAAGAAGTAGCGGCTGGGAACCGCAGTAACATCAAGGTAGCGACCTTGGGTATTATGACTCATTCTTGGGCTGATGGGCAACTTCAGAGTCTTTCTTCCGAGCTGCTGAAAAGATCTCTTAGGCTCAGCGGTCTTGAAGGAAAGGGGCTGGCAGCCACAGAGCCTCTGGCTGCATCAACACCAGCTGCATCGGAACTGGCTATGTGTGATTGGGTAACAAGTCCATTACAGCAGCAATCAGCAGCATCGTTGGCCCAAAGCATCAACCGTCGCCCTGAAACCACTCGAACATCCTCATTCCTCATGCGCAATTGCTCGCAGAGCTACGCCGGGGTCGGATGCGCACGTACTCCGTCAAAGACCGTTCCAGCGTCTCCACGACGAAACGCTGCACGAGGCTTGGCTCCGTTCTGGGCCAAACCTGAGGCTCTTCGAGGCGCGTGACTCGGTCTAGATCGCAGGTTTCGGGCAGGAAGTTTTGTGTTTGGACGTTCGGCCTTCGCTGCACCCAGGTGCAGCACAACTAAATGACGACGAGTTGTAGAGTTCCTTTCGTCAAGTAGCTGCCATCTGTCCTGTGCAAACAACGGATACCGACAGGAAGTACCAAGCGAACAACAGCACCGAAGGCAGGAATATCGAAACGCAAAAAAAAACGTACCGGTGAAAGGTCGATCGCCCGATGATGTCTGACTTACGGATTTGGGCCTGGGCCCCGGGGCAGAATGGCGAGCTCTGCTCCATATGACGCCAGAGGTCGAGCCTAAATCGATGCCAGGGGACTACAAGCACATCTCCTGCAGCATAAGCCCTTGAGGCAGGAAGTCCTCAGTGAAGCCGCACATTCACTCGCAGCTTTGAGCTAGCACGGAAACCGATTCTGTTGGTGGTGGTTGAGGCATGGAGCGTGGACTGTACTGCACCGGATCTACGATGGTCCTGTTTGGCAGCCTCTGCAAACCGGTCTCTCGGTCCGGAGAGGCTCGAAATCAACAGTACGAATATCTCCTAGAGCGAACCACTCGGGTAGCTGCTGCATTTGGAAAGGCGTCTAACCAAATCTGTGAACGCTTTCGAGAATCGCACACTCAAGCCGAAGTGGCTCGCGGGTCTGGAAGGATCCGAATGCATCATGGTGTCACATGTGTGGTTCAGCAAAGAGGCGAAGTCTGACGTTCCACACGTCTTGGACTTCTGATGCATGGCTCTCGCTGCACAAGCTGCGCTTGGCGACCACCTCAGCCAAGAAGCCTGAGCTGGACATGGTCGAAAGGGTTGACTTCATCGAATGGTGGACACGGAGCTGCACCAAGAAACATGTGTGTGGATCCCGTGCGACATGCTAGCTCCGCCAAACTCGCAAGATGTCAGACAAGGTGAACAGCGAACATGTCGGCTACCAACTGTCTGCCGGCCCAGATCCGACACATACAAGCAGGTACCGAAGCCAATCCAAGTGGCCATCATCTGGCAGATCCTGAGTCACAATCCCCTGTCAACATCATTCGCTCGATGATGCAGTGGCGGGACATCCTAAAGATGAGGCTGCAGCTGCTAGTTGCAGGGGGTCTTGAACATCTGGTCTACGACAGACTTTCCGATTGCACACCTCAATGAAGATTCTCGAGCCTGCGAATTTGCATCCCCATCGCCGTTCTGGAAGGCCTGACCAAGCTCGTCAACCTGCTTCAGTGGGTCAGTGAGTGAGTGGGTGGGTGAGTCAGGGGACGTCTGGAGGAGCTGAATACTTTTCCAGCTGACGGAACTGAATATGGTTGAGGGTGTTTGTTTCCGTAAAACAGGAGAGGCAGGTATTCAAAAAGCAGTCGCTGACTTTGGCTGTTTTTGCTCTGCTCTCTCTCTCACAGGCACTCGAAGCGTCAGGCCTGGTCGAAGGGCAGCATCTGTGCCACTCGTAAAACTACAGATAGGGTAACTCCTGCTTTTGCTCTGCTTATCTGCTAATCGAGACGGCCATGGCAAGGACAGGTGAAACTTCATAGCCATTCCGCCTAGCAGGCAGTGTAGCGGGATGGTCGTACTGGCAAGGTACCAAGGTTTATCTATGATTGTCGTACCGATATTCTGGCCCTCGGCATGCTACGAGGTTGCATCATTGAATCATCACCTGTCGCCGTAACTGGCATTCTTCAAAAAGAATAACTGGAACAGTCATCATGAGGGCAGGCGCACTGCAGGCCCCTCCTGAACAGGCCCCTCCTGAAGACAGCAGACATCGTCGTTCGGAAGCACGTTGCTTGATCATTGGTCTGGTAATCTAGTTTCACCGAGAGCAACTTTGCAAAGGAATTTTCACATGCCTGGGTTGGTTGGAAGCTTCAGTCGACAATCATGTTCACTCTGCCATCTACACTTTGACCTGACCCGCCCTCGTCCTGTCAGCCCTTTGCACTGAATCGCTTCGGCCTCGTACCGCTCATCCCCAGCATCTTCGCTTGACATCACCGGCGGCTGCAGCTCAGCCAACATGGTCCACAGACCCTCGGCCCACGGATCCTGAGCCAAAGGAACATCTGCACATACATAATACAGTACAGTAGTCAGAACTACACCGAAACCTGTACAGCCATCATATATAGCAGTTATATGCATGTGCACAAATACATACGCACATGCATATAAATGCTTATGTTGCCTAGTTGCGGGGGATGCTATGATAGATCATGTCTTCTGCTTCGGTGAGCATTGAGACAGTAGTCTGAATACTAGAATTGATAAAGTAAACGGCAACTCCACCACCGCAAATCGGGAATGCAACCAAGTCACCAGCTCTTGCTCCAAACCTCAAGGCTCTCTGCCAAGCAATCGGTATGCAATCAGATCTTTCTGCGTTTGTATGCATAGATAGGCACAGGTCTGTACGATTTGTACACATGTTCTAGAAGTATTACATAAACATAGGTGTTTCTCATTTGCACAAACATTGAACCAACATACTGAGACAGCGGCATGAAGGTCCATACAGTTCGTGCAATGCGTACACTACCTTTGGGGTGTGTGTGTGTGTGTATGAATAGATAGATAAACAGAAAGACAGACAGATAAATAGACGTGCAGTACATGCAGGTACATGAGTAATTGAATTAGATAACAGACATACATACTTACCTACACACAAAGATACGTGCCTGCATATGAACAGGTGCAAGCACAAATCAATGTGAGTATGTACATATATAAGAATATTAATGATAAAAGTACTAACAATACTAATAACACTATTTATTATACTAAAATACAAATATTACTGATGATACAAATTACTAATACATAAAAAATAATAAGAAGAAGAGTCATACACACAAACAACAGATATGACGCAGAGTTCTGCGCCGCCTCGCCGAAGCCTCCACGCTGCAGCCTAAAGCACCGTGCAGAGCCAACTAAACTCCGAAGCTCAAGGCCAAGCCGTTCCGCAAAAGCGGAGGGGGGATGACACACGCAGAACCGTTGGGAGAAGGCTCAAACCCACGTTACATTGGGGGAGGCGAGGGGAGAGGGCAGCGCAACACTCACACACACACACACACAGACGTGTACGTCTCACACACACACACAAACACAAGACAAAAATTTGCGCACGCAAACAACCGCAGGTCGTGTGCTTGCGCCATGCGCAAAGAGATGCACCCGCACAAAACACGGCTAAGAAACGCTCATGTCAGGAGGGACATGAGGGAATGCTGGGCTTCAGGCCGAAGTCATGCTGATCATCTCCCAGGCCGAGCCGGTAAAAGGACTTGGCACCCAGATTCCCAAGCCGTGCGTACAGCTTCCGGGCCTTGAGGTCAGGTCCAAGCATCCACTTCGAGCGCAAGACTCGAAATCGAAGGTTAGCATCCTTCCAAGGCGCAGCATAGTTGAATTCGCGGTAGCGGCGATCTCCAAGGCCGAACACCGTGTACGACAGGTTGGCCAGTGATCTTGGCGCTTCACCGCTGCACCCTATAGCCAAAACATGAAGCGGATCGGAGGAGGCTACGGGACACCCAGGACGCTCCGGGCATCCTGCATCAAATGAGAGCCATGGCACGATGGGGGCAACGAGGCCGACAGCATCTCCTGCCACAGCCGGCGCATGTTCAATGGCGGATCACCTTGCACAACGAGGCGCAGGCTTCTGGTGGTTTCAACAGCCGGCTCGGCTGCACAGTAAATCAGGCTGCGCCTTCCCTTGCACAATCATGTCAATCATGCTGCTGAATGCCTTGTCCAGTGGTGGAAACGACAAAGATCCCGATCTTCGTCATACTGAGCCTCGGCACATGCAAAAGTCGACGATAAACGATAACCTGTTCTGCCCGTGATCAAATTACAGCCTCCGGAAATGACCATGCTCGGAGAGTCTGTCTCAAATTTGAAGAAAGCAACAATTAGCAAACACGCCCAGGAGCATTGCCGGGGCAAGGCGCTGCTGCTATACAAACTCAGATCGTCACGACATGCGCCAGTGGATGTCTGGGCCTGAGGCCCCAACTCACGGATGCTCGTCTCATCCTGTGAAACAAAGCAAATTTCACCGTTTCACCGGCGCCGGCTGCACACTTGTGTACACTGTATATACACCTGGAGCCTACGCAGCCTATGCACGCTTGTGAGCTCCGCTGCTCGCACAACGGTCCAGCGCTCTTGGTTCCAGTAGCCAGCCACGGCGCCGGCCCTCTCGCGCCAGCTCCCAGGCTACCTCCTCAGCAGTGCCTGTCATGAGCAACATGCGTACAAACAAAGACTGATGCCAGAAACGGGATTACGTGCTCTACGGGGATCCCTTGTCTGCCAGGCCTGTTTGGGAGCCATAGAACAAGCTGACCGCAGCAGTGTCCACTCCATTCGGAGGCATTGCGGTCACGTTCGAACCAAGCTACACCGGTCTGTGCCGGGCGACGCATGCTGCAAGGATAGGTGCATCCAACTGCATTATTGGCCGGCAGTCAAGCACAACGATCTGCGATCTCGGCAGCTTGTTCCGGTCCTTGCTTTCAGTTCTTGTGATTGCTCTGATGCTATACAGCTTTCAGATTGCGGTCCAGCGCACACCAATCTCACAACATGACAGGCTGGGACTGGCACATAAATTCATACGGTGGCCAAGCAGGGCTGTAGGTATAGCCACAGTAGAACATTTCAGCTTCGATTCAGACCGAGCCCGTGGCAATTATCTTCCGCTGGCCCGCCTTCGCTGACCGAGCTTTGGAAGCATCCGAAGCGCTCGACACTCTCTCTCGGAAGCTTCATTCAATACAGCGGAGAAATGCCTCACGTGCGCAGACTGCAACAGCCTGTGCATAACTAGATAAGCTGGCTTCGACCAAAGTGACAAGGGGCAGGAGGTCTCTTGAAGACCCGCTGCTGCTGCTGAACGGACATGGAGCCATGAAGAGGCAAAATCCAAGCCCGCTCGCCTCCGGTCGCAAGCGGTGCACCAAGCTCGACAAAGGGAATGCGGCTCTTTTCTCATATTACTGGTTGTCGCAGTGGAGGACGGAGGGGCTAGATTCTCGACAGGGCATGACTAAAGCTTCGTTCTAATATGTCAAGCCCGCTGGGTGCGCCGGTATTGAGGGTATAATCAAACACTGTGGCGCTCGAAATCTGCAAAAGCTTCCCATCGTTGCACTGGGTTTTGGATCCTCCTCCTCCTGCTACGACTACGACTACTGCGACGACGACTACTACTATCTACCACGACGACGATTACTACCACTCCTATCCTACTCCTCCTCCTCCTGCTCCTACTCCTGCTCCTACGACTACTACTACTTCTGCTACTGCGACTGCTGCTGCTGCTGCTGCTAGTACGACTACTCCTCCTAATCCTACTCCTACTCCGACTACGACTACAACTATGCCTATGCCGCGACGACCACTACCACTGCCACCACTGCTACTACTACTCCTGCTGCTACTCCAGCTGCTACTACTACTGCTTCGACTACGACTATACTACTACATTGCTGCTACTTCTGCTGCTACTACTACTCCTGCTACTACTACTACTACTACTACTACTACTACTACTGCTACTATTACTCCTGCTACTACTACTACTACTACTACTACTACTACTACTGCTACTACTACTACTACAACTACAACTACAACTACAACTACAACAACTACTACTACTACTACTAGTACTACTACTACTTCTAACTACTAACTACTAACTACTAAGTACTAAGTACTAAGTACTAAGTACTAACTACTAACTACTAACTACTAACTACTAACTACTACTTACTACTACTTACTACTACTTACTACTACTTACTACTACTACTACTACTACTACTACTACTACTACTACTACTACTACTACTACTACTACTACTACTACTACTACTACTACTACTACTACTACTACTACTACTACTACTACTACTACTACTACTACTACTACTACTACTACTACTACTACTACTACTTACTACTACTACTACTCTACTTACTACTTACTACTACTACTACTACTACTTCTACTACTACTACTACTACTACTACTCCTACTCCTGCTACTACTACTGCTACTACTACTGCGACGACGACTACGACCACGACTACGACTACGACTACGACGACTACCACTACTACGACTACTGCTACTGCTACTGCTACTGCTACTGCTACTGCTACTGCTACTGCTACTGCTACTGCTGCTGCTGCTGCTACTGCTACTGCTACTGCTACTGCTACTGCTACTGCTACTACTACTGCTGCTGCTACTGCTACTGCTACTGCTACCACTCCCACTCCCACTCCCACTCCTACTCCTACTCCTACTCCTACTCCTACTCCTACTCCTACTCCTACTCCTACTGCTACTACTACTACTACTACTACTACTACTTCTGCTACTGCTACTGCTACTGCTACTGCTACTGCTACTGCTACTGCTACTGCTACTGCTACTGCTACTGCTACTACTACTACTACTACTACTACTACTACTACTACTGCTTCTTGTGAGGGCACATACATGTTGCAGCTTCATGTATGTGAGACAGGTCTTTGCCAGCGTAGCTTCAGTTGCATGTTGTTGTAGTTTGTATGTTTTGTCCAAAACGAAACGTTTTGGCTCAAGTGCCTTGTTTCTAGCTACTAGGCATGCCAATTGCGCACGGCTGAACGCAGGGTAGTGTAGCTCTCGAGTTGCACGCCCGCGGTCGGTCACGCGCGGCGTTGCCTAGGGACTGGCGTGAGTGCGAACTCGCGAAGCAAAAAGCAGTTGCGCAGCTGAATTTTTCGTGTGTTGCGCAATACCAGTTAGCGCGCTTCACATACTGCTACTGTTGCTACTACTACTACTGCTGCTACTACTACTGCTGCTACTCCTACTGCTGCTACTAATACGCTACTTCTACGCTGCTGTTGCTACTACTACTACTACTACTACTACTACTACTACTACTACGACTACTGCTACGACTACAACTCCTGCTACTGCCACTGCTACTGCCATTGCCATACTGCTACTGCCACACTGCCATACTGCTACTGCCATACTAGCAGTGCCAGCACCAGTGCTAGTACCGGAACGCGTAGTGGCACTGGTATTCGTACGAGTATTAGTGCTGGTACGAGTACTGATTGCTGGTGCGGGCACTAGCTACCAGCACCTCTTGTAGCACTAAGACTAGTGCGAGTGCTGGTACCAGTACTAGTACTGCTACTACTGCTGCTGCTGCTGCTGCTACTACTACTACTACTGCTACTTTAGTAGCACTACTACTGCTACGAAGCCTGCCCCACTACTGCACTACTACTGCTGCTACTACTAGTACTACTACTACTACTACTGCTACTGCTATTCTGCTGCTACTCTACTACTCTACTCCTCTACTGCTGCGAAGGCGACTACTTCTATTCGTTATGTGACAGACACGAGCCTACCCCTGCTTGGCCACGAAGATGGCTGATGCAGTTCTCTATCTCAGCATGACCTTGCAAGCTTCAGCATCTCAGTAATCAAGCTCTGACATTCCGATGCGAGGCAGCTTCCCTGAGTCGTTGTCGGGCTGGTCTGCACCACTAAAAAAGGATTCGTCAGTGAGTGCGGTTGAAGCACTCAAACACTGTTGCTCTGTCTCGCAGGCCATTTCGAACGGACGCTTAAAACAGGGCCCGTGAAGTTTGCTCCGATGCTCTCCGGTCAGATGCTGAAAGCAGTCATGCAAACGGCACATCTGGAAGTTCTCGACAGTAGATGCCTGTGCAAAACCCGCGAAGCAACTAGCCTCTTGGAATGGACCGTACAAGACGACGGGTGCTGCAGAAAGCTTCTTATTCTGCTGCTGTTGCATTCTACCGATCCACCGATCGACTAGCCTCCAATATAGGCCCCAAACGCAGCCCCACGACGTCGCTTTGGAAGTGTGATTCTGCACCGATGTCATTCAAGCTTCATCCCAAACCTGCGCTTTCCTTACTTGGCCTCTCAAAGGCTCTTTTACGTTATCACATCTAACTCGACAACCCACACTTGCCAGTTGTCACTGCTGCCCGCTCCATGAACCCAAAGTTCGGCCATCACCTGGGCGCAGACACGGGAAAGGTCCGAGTGGCCTTTCTATTCATTCTTTTCAGCGCAGCCTAGCACAGCACAGGAAGACACTGTTCGAGGCGCAGTTAAGGCACACGAATGAAAGTGTTTTCATCATCGCGGGAAGAGGCTTCAAACTCTGAATGTTGCTGTCATGGTAAGGGCCTGGCTGTTGGCGTGGGCTTTAGCCAAAATCTGAATCCGCTTCTGCGAAGACAAACAGGATATGGATAAGCTGGGCCAGGCCAAGAAGCCTAATTGAGAGAAGAAGCAGGTCGCCAGACACCTTCTCATTGTCTGTGCCGTCACGGCGACAGTACATCATAATAACAAAGCCGATTAGATGCCAAATGGCTACACAAGTGTGTTAGGTCATGCAAACACACTGGCGAGCAGAACCCTTACACTGCCACCAGCGGATGCAAGGCCCGTCACTCTGTGTCACTTCGCCGCTGCAATGAAAAAGTACCTCACTTGGATTTCGAGAGGAGGTCGAACTTCTTCTTCGAGCCTAGACCGCTGCCTGCCACCGGCACCATGAGAGGGGTTCGGCCCAGGAAGACCCCAGGGCCGGAGTATCGTCGAATGAAGCCACCCCACTTACCGTGGAAGCTCTTGCCAGTGGCCTGCTTGAAAGCTGCCTTGACGTACTGCTTGCGGGCGGACAAGCTAGCGCCACCTGGCACGCTGCGATCCATGTTGCCCTGAAGGGTCTTCAAGGAGCGCACCGTTGTCTGCTCTAGGCAATCAGAAGTGAAGAGCAGCTTTGCCAGCGAGTTCCGATCTTCCACGTTGGCAGGGTTCACGACGCATGTGGTGGCTCCCGTTGCAAGCTTCTCGGTGACGATTAAGTTCTTGCTTGCCGTTTGGCAAACCATGTAGAAATGATGTGGTTGCTTGTTGCCATGCGCCTCACCCTCAGCAGCTTCCAAGTAGACCTTACAATTCTGAATCTTCTCGCCGTCAGAGATGCTCGGGGACCTGTCTTTCGATGCCAGGTTCCAGGTAGGTGCCGAGGTCGAGAACAGAACACCCACCTGCTCTTCGCCGAACTTCTCTTCCGTGGTACGCACCTCGAGGCTGCCGATGTGGTAGATGCGGAACACAGTGCCATCCTCCGTGATCTGCTTGAACTCGGGGGCGGCCGTCGGCAGAATGTCGGAGACCAAGACTTTGCGGAAGCTGTCGTCGAACTCGACCTTGCTCAAGCCGGACTTGTTGGAGACCTCGAACTTGGGGGCCACGCCATCCTTCTCGATCTGGAAGCGCGAGGTCCAAGAGCGCGGGAAGTCTGTGCCCGGGTTGCCAGCTTTGAAGCTGCGGTCGCAGAAGTGCAGCTTGCGGCGCTCCAGGAGAGACTTCTCCTCGTGGATGAGGCTACGGAGCTTGGCGGCGTACTCCATGTTGGGATCCGGAGGGATGAAAGAATCGCCTTCGCCTGTGCGGTCGCACTGGGGGGAGCCGAAGACCTTCACCAACAACTCCTTGTACTCGGTCTTGAGGTCCTCGAAGTCCTGTTCTCGCAGGCTTCTCAAGAAGGCCCGTCCCAAGGTCACCTTGGCTTCCAAGGAATCTGGACCACCACTGCATGGAGGCAAACTGCCAGCGAAGCGCTCTGGCTTGGTCAAGTCGAACTTGTCCAAATTCAGATCCACACCCTGAGGCATCTCTGCCCGCTGTCCGAGCTGGAACCGCTGGGGCATGAACATGGGTCGGCCCGACTGCCCCAATTGCATACCCGTCTGGCCCTGGAGAGCATGGCGCTGTGCCAGCTCAAAGCGGTCGAGCCCGAACTCCACACCACCGTAGATGGCCTGCAGATTGCGCTGGCCACCAGTGAACATATCAATGAGCCGGCCATTCTTCAGCTGAATGCGGGAGTTGCCGCGCATGTTCCACAGCTGTGGGATTTCTGGATGTGCTTCCTTCGGCGTGGACTTCACAATCTCGTCAGCAAGACGGTACCAAGATGGATCCAGGCGCGTGTGCGAGTCGACAAGGTACTTGGCCAGCACGGACGCCTTCGCTAACTCCCGGACATGGTAGACGACGCTCTTGCGCTCCGCTATCAAGTCGAAGTTGCGAGTGAAGGCGTCGGCGAACTTCTTCAGAGGATGTGTGGAAGCAGTGACCGCCGCATCTTCCAGGCCCTTCTTGGTAACAACTTGCTCGCGGGCCTCAACGCCCATCTTCACGAAAGGGACCAGGGTCTTGTCCTGCGCCAACCTCACCTCGGCCTTCTTCACCACGTACCACTCTCGCCCCGCCCAGGCTTTGTCCTGCAAAGCATCATGGATCAACACGGCTGGCCCTCTCAGCACTATTAGTCATAAGCCGTTGAAGAAAGTGCTACCATCTTGCACGGTCCTTGTCGGAAAGCTCGGACCAATCGAACACGCTCAGCATGCCGGAAACGGGCATCTCGTACTCGCCGAGGGCAAGCTCCTTCAAGAAGTAGTCGGCTTGGAACATGACGTCACCCACGCTTGTGCCCGCCAACCAGCTGGGTTCATACACCTTCTTCTGCGGAGTTTTCTCCAGGTTCTGTGGGTCAACTGGGTCAAGGGAGAACAACGGCTCGCGGGAGGCTGTCTTCCGCACCTTCAGCGCCAACAGCAGGTACTCCAAGTTCACTGCGGCAGCAGGCTCCAAAGTTGGTGCAACCTTCACCGTCCGGGTCACCTCATCGAACACAAGGCAGCACAAACCCTGGGGAGTGGCGCTGCAGCCCATGCGCTCAGCCCATGTCGTGTTCTTGGGAACGCTGTCCATGACCCAACCGATCTCGTACTCCTTGCGGCTCTTCAGCTTCTTCTCCGCCTCCCAGCCCATGCGTCGGTCCTCCTGCCTCTGGGCATCGTCCACAAGGACTTGTGCCATGCACTCTGCATGGACACAGCTGCCACGGCCTTCGCGACCCTCATATGCAAACTCCCCAACCGGCATCAGGCATCTGCAGCACAATGGCACCTCTTCGCCCTCGGAATCCACATCCGTCGGTGCAGACTTGCGCTCCTTCTTCGGCTTCGGTGCCATGAGAGCCGCCTCGATGGCTTCCTTGGGGGTGGTGCGTTTTGCTGCGTGGTTCACTGCCCAGGGGAAGGCTTTGCGGTTGAAGCCAGGGTTGGAGCCTGTCCTGTTCTCACCGAACTTGTCCAGGTACTGCTTCAGGGCCTCCTTCTCATCGTTCGAGGGCTCCTTCTCGTTGATCACCTTGGCGGTCGGGCTGGCCACGTCTGACTCGCTGCTTGCTTCCACCTGAATCTCGCCCTCGCTGGTGGACTCCGCCAGCTCTTTCTCAAGCTGTACCAAAAGGTCCTTGCCCTTCAGGTTCACCGTCACCCATCCCTTGGCGGGACCGGTACCCGAGACGAGTTCGTAGCCGAGGCGGCCATCTTGCCACTGAACTTCCTTCACTTTGGCACCCGTCGCCAAGCGTTCGTCCAAAATGGTGGAGGACAGGTCCGAGCTTTCACGGACGAGGATGCCACCCTTGTCGGCTCCACCCACAACCTCCCACATGGCGGCCATGGCGAAGTGGCGCGTGTTGCAGGGTCCAGCTAAGTTTGAGCCTCTTCCTCTGGCTGTCACAATGCCGACTTCGTGGTTGATTTTCAAGGCAGCACAAGCTGACATGCATTTCTTGGAAGTTGGAAGCATCACCCATTATCGCCAGTCTGTCGCATTTTTCCACCGGTTGCACTCTCATTCCAAACCACGATCAACCTTTGGCTCTCCTTTTATGTCAGGGCGTCCAGCATATCTCAAAGAAAACAAGCTGCTGAGATAGGCTCACTGGTATTCACTGGTCAGATCTCACTACACGGCAAAGCCATGCTGAACCTCTCTGCTGTAGAATGCCCTTCGAGACGGACAGAGGAGAAAGCGCAGTGCAAGGAGCATGCGCGAGCAAGACCCTTGTGGCCCTTATACGTTGCCTCTGAGCCACAGCAACCGAGTAGCTACCACTGCCATCCGACCTATTTGTTGTTTACTGTGCGACATAATGCACTATTATTCCTTGGTGGGGTTGCTGCGCAGCTGTTGAAACTAATGCCGTGAGCATCTGGGATCACTTGTTCGACTTCGTGTGAAGGAGGTCAAATCTCATCTTCGGGGTCCACGTCCCAAGGCCGGCGCTGCGGTCCATCATGAGAGGGGTTCGGCCCAGGAAGACCCCAGGGCCGGAGTATCGTCGAATGAAGCCACCCCACTTACCGTGGAAGCTCTTGCCAGTGGCCTGCTTGAAAGCTGCCTTGACGTACTGCTTGCGGGCGGACAAGCTAGCGCCACCTGGCACGCTGCGATCCATGTTGCCCTGAAAGGTCTTCAAGGAGCGCACCGTTGTCTGCTCTAGGCAATCAGAAGTGAAGAGCAGCTTTGCCAGCGAGTTCCGATCTTCCACGTTGGCAGGGTTCACGACGCACGTGGTGGCTCCCGTTGCAAGCTTCTCGGTGACGATTAAGTTCTTGCTTGCCGTTTGGCAAACCATGTAGAAATGGTGTGGTTGCTTGTTGCCGTGTGCCTCACCCTCAGCAGCTTCCAAGTAGACCTTGCAGTTCTGAATCTTCTCGCCGTCAGAGATGCTCGGGGACCTGTCTTTCGATGCCAGATTCCAGGTAGGTGCCGAGGTCGAGAACAGAACACCCACCTGCTCTTCGCCGAACTTCTCTTCCGTGGTACGCACCTCGAGGCTGCCGATGTGGTAGATGCGGAACACAGTGCCATCCTCCGTGATCTGCTTGAACTCGGGGGCGGCCGTCGGCAGAATGTCGGAGACCAAGACTTTGCGGAAGCTGTCGTCGAACTCGACCTTGCTCAAGCCGGACTTGTTGGAGACCTCGAACTTGGGGGCCACGCCATCCTTCTCGATCTGGAAGCGCGAGGTCCAAGAGCGCGGGAAGTCTGTGCCCGGGTTGCCAGCCTTGAAGCTGCGGTCGCAGAAGTGCAGCTTGCGGCGCTCCAGGAGAGACTTCTCCTCGTGGATGAGGCTACGGAGCTTGGCGGCGTACTCCATGTTGGGATCCGGAGGGATGAAAGAATCGCCTTCGCCTGTGCGGTCGCACTGGGGGGAGCCGAAGACCTTCACCAACAACTCCTTGTACTCGGTCTTGAGGTCCTCGAAGTCCTGTTCTCGCAGGCTTCTCAAGAAGGCCCGTCCCAAGGTCACCTTGGCTTCCAAGGAATCTGGACCACCACTGCATGGAGGCAAACTGCCAGCGAAGCGCTCTGGCTTGGTCAAGTCGAACTTGTCCAAATTCAGATCCACACCCTGAGGCATCTCTGCCCGCTGTCCGAGCTGGAACCGCTGGGGCATGAACATGGGTCGGCCCGACTGCCCCAATTGCATACCCGTCTGGCCCTGGAGAGCATGGCGCTGTGCCAGCTCAAAGCGGTCGAGCCCGAACTCCACACCACCGTAGATGGCCTGCAGATTGCGCTGGCCACCAGTGAACATATCAATGAGCCGGCCATTCTTCAGCTGAATGCGGGAGTTGCCGCGCATGTTCCACAGCTGTGGGATTTCTGGATGTGCTTCCTTCGGCGTGGACTTCACAATCTCGTCGGCAAGACGGTACCAAGATGGATCCAGGCGCGTGTGCGAGTCGACCAAGTACTTGGCCAGCACGGACGCCTTCGCTAACTCCCGGACATGGTAGACGACGCTCTTGCGCTCCGCTATCAAGTCGAAGTTGCGAGTGAAGGCGTCGGCGAACTTCTTCAGAGGATGTGTGGAAGCAGTGACCGCCGCATCTTCCAGGCCCTTCTTGGTAACAACTTGCTCGCGGGCCTCAACGCCCATCTTCACGAAAGGGACCAGGGTCTTGTCCTGCGCCAACCTCACCTCGGCCTTCTTCACCACGTACCACTCTCGCCCCGCCCAGGCTTTGTCCTGCAAAGCATCATGGATCAACACGGCTGGCCCTCTCAGCACTATTAGTCATAAGCCGTTTAAGAAAGTGCTACCATCTTGCACGGTCCTTGTCGGAAAGCTCGGACCAATCGAACACGCTCAGCATGCCGGAAACGGGCATCTCGTACTCGCCGAGGGCAAGCTCCTTCAAGAAGTAGTCGGCTTGGAACATGACGTCACCCACGCTTGTGCCGGCCAACCAGCTGGGTTCATACACCTTCTTCTGCGGAGTTTTCTCCAGGTTCTGTGGGTCAACTGGGTCAAGGGAGAACAACGGCTCGCGGGAGGCTGTCTTCCGCACCTTCAGCGCCAACAGCAGGTACTCCAAGTTCACTGCGGCAGCAGGCTCCAAAGTTGGTGCAACCTTCACCGTCCGGGTCACCTCATCGAACACAAGGCAGCACAAACCCTGAGGAGTGGCGCTGCAGCCCATGCGCTCAGCCCATGTCGTGTTCTTGGGAACGCTGTCCATGACCCAACCGATCTCGTACTCCTTGCGGCTCTTCAGTTTCTTCTCCGCCTCCCAGCCCATGCGTCGGTCCTCCTGCCTCTGGGCATCGTCCACAAGGACTTGTGCCATGCACTCTGCATGGACACAGCTGCCACGGCCTTCGCGACCCTCATATGCAAACTCCCCAACCGGCATCAGGCATCTGCAGCACAATGGCACCTCTTCGCCCTCGGAATCCACATCCGTCGGTGCAAACTTGCGCTCCTTCTTCGGCTTCGGTGCCATCAGAGCCGCCTCGATGGCTTCCTTGGGGGTGGTGCGTTTTGCTGCGTGGTTCACTGCCCAGGGGAAGGCTTTGCGGTTGAAGCCAGGGTTGGAGCCTGTCCTGTTCTCACCGAACTTGTCCAGGTACTGCTTCAGGGCCTCCTTCTCATCGTTCGAGGGCTCCTTCTCGTTGATCACCTTGGCGGTCGGGCTGGCCACGTCTGACTCGCTGCTTGCTTCCACCTGAATCTCACCCTCGCTGGTGGACTCCGCCAGCTCTTTCTCAAGCTGTACCAAAAGGTCCTTGCCCTTCAGGTTCACCGTCACCCATCCCTTGGCGGGACCGGTACCCGAGACGAGTTCGTAGCCAAGGCGGCCATCTTGCCACTGAACTTCCTTCACTTTGGCACCGGTGGCCAAGCGGCTGTCCAAAATGGTGGAGGACAGGTCCGAGCTTTCACGGACGAGGATGCCACCCTTGTCGGCTCCACCCACAACCTCCCACATGGCAGCCATGGCGAAGTGGCGAAGAGTCGCGTGTTGCAGGGTCCAACTAAGCTTGAGCCGTGTACCTCTTCCGAAGGCCCTGCTAGGATCTCCTAATTCACAAGCCTTCCCGTGGGAGACAAAAACAACGGGCCAAGAGGCAACGCCATTTCCAACGATGGGAAGAGACGCGCGTAAGAGAAGCTGTCGATGAAACGTGCATCAGCCTCTAGCTAGGTTTCGCATTTGCAGGCAGTGTCCCGCAAAAGCTGTCTTAAGTGGTTTGTGAAAGCTACACAGCTCTTCCATATTCCTCACTTGCTCGCCTTCATCTGGAGGAGGTCGAACTTCTTCTTGGCTGTCCAAGTCCCGTTCATCAAGCCAGCACTACGGTCCATCGGCACCATGAGAGGGGTTCGGCCCAGGAAGACCCCAGGGCCGGAGTATCGTCGAATGAAGCCACCCCACTTACCGTGGAAGCTCTTGCCAGTGGCCTGCTTGAAAGCTGCCTTGACGTACTGCTTGCGGGCGGACAAGCTAGCGCCACCTGGCACGCTGCGATCCATGTTGCCCTGAAGGGTCTTCAAGGAGCGCACCGTTGTCTGCTCTAGGCAATCAGAAGTGAAGAGCAGCTTTGCCAGCGAGTTCCGATCTTCCACGTTGGCAGGGTTCACGACGCACGTGGTGGCTCCCGTTGCAAGCTTCTCGGTGACGATTAAGTTCTTGCTTGCCGTTTGGCAAACCATGTAGAAATGGTGTGGTTGCTTGTTGCCGTGTGCCTCACCCTCAGCAGCTTCCAAGTAGACCTTGCAATTCTGAATCTTCTCGCCGTCAGAGATGCTCGGGGACCTGTCTTTCGATGCCAGATTCCAGGTAGGTGCCGAGGTCGAGAACAGAACACCCACCTGCTCTTCGCCGAACTTCTCTTCCGTGGTACGCACCTCGAGGCTGCCGATGTGGTAGATGCGGAACACAGTGCCATCCTCCGTGATCTGCTTGAACTCGGGGGCGGCCGTCGGCAGAATGTCGGAGACCAAGACTTTGCGGAAGCTGTCGTCGAACTCGACCTTGCTCAAGCCGGACTTGTTGGAGACCTCGAACTTGGGGGCCACGCCATCCTTCTCGATCTGGAAGCGCGAGGTCCAAGAGCGCGGGAAGTCTGTGCCCGGGTTGCCAGCTTTGAAGCTGCGGTCGCAGAAGTGCAGCTTGCGGCGCTCCAGGAGAGACTTCTCCTCGTGGATGAGGCTACGGAGCTTGGCGGCGTACTCCATGTTGGGATCCGGAGGGATGAAAGAATCGCCTTCGCCTGTGCGGTCGCACTGGGGGGAGCCGAAGACCTTCACCAACAACTCCTTGTACTCGGTCTTGAGGTCCTCGAAGTCCTGTTCTCGCAGGCTTCTCAAGAAGGCCCGTCCCAAGGTCACCTTGGCTTCCAAGGAATCTGGACCACCACTGCATGGAGGCAAACTGCCAGCGAAGCGCTCTGGCTTGGTCAAGTCGAACTTGTCCAAATTCAGATCCACACCCTGAGGCATCTCTGCCCGCTGTCCGAGCTGGAACCGCTGGGGCATGAACATGGGTCGGCCCGACTGCCCCAATTGCATACCCGTCTGGCCCTGGAGAGCATGGCGCTGTGCCAGCTCAAAGCGGTCGAGCCCGAACTCCACACCACCGTAGATGGCCTGCAGATTGCGCTGGCCACCAGTGAACATATCAATGAGCCGGCCATTCTTCAGCTGAATGCGGGAGTTGCCGCGCATGTTCCACAGCTGTGGGATTTCTGGATGTGCTTCCTTCGGCGTGGACTTCACAATCTCGTCGGCAAGACGGTACCAAGATGGATCCAGGCGCGTGTGCGAGTCGACCAAGTACTTGGCCAGCACGGACGCCTTCGCTAACTCCCGGACATGGTAGACGACGCTCTTGCGCTCCGCTATCAAGTCGAAGTTGCGAGTGAAGGCGTCGGCGAACTTCTTCAGAGGATGTGTGGAAGCAGTGACCGCCGCATCTTCCAGGCCCTTCTTGGTAACAACTTGCTCGCGGGCCTCAACGCCCATCTTCACGAAAGGGACCAGGGTCTTGTCCTGCGCCAACCTCACCTCGGCCTTCTTCACCACGTACCACTCTCGCCCCGCCCAGGCTTTGTCCTGCAAAGCATCATGGATCACCACGGCTGGCCCTCTCAGCACGATTATTAGTCATATGCCGTTTAAGAAAGTGCTACCATTTTGCACGGTCCTTATCGGAAAGCTCGGACCAATCGAACACGCTCAGCATGCCGGAAACGGGCATCTCGTACTCGCCGAGGGCAAGCTCCTTCAAGAAGTAGTCGGCTTGGAACATGACGTCACCCACGCTTGTGCCCGCCAACCAGCTGGGTTCATACACCTTCTTCTGCGGAGTTTTCTCCAGGTTCTGTGGGTCAACTGGGTCAAGGGAGAACAACGGCTCGCGGGAGGCTGTCTTCCGCACCTTCAGCGCCAACAGCAGGTACTCCAAGTTCACTGCGGCAGCAGGCTCCAAAGTTGGTGCAACCTTCACCGTCCGGGTCACCTCATCGAACACAAGGCAGCACAAACCCTGAGGAGTGGCGCTGCAGCCCATGCGCTCAGCCCATGTCGTGTTCTTGGGAACGCTGTCCATGACCCAACCGATCTCGTACTCCTTGCGGCTCTTCAGCTTCTTCTCCGCCTCCCAGCCCATGCGTCGGTCCTCCTGCCTCTGGGCATCGTCCACAAGGACTTGTGCCATGCACTCTGCATGGACACAGCTGCCACGGCCTTCGCGACCCTCATATGCAAACTCCCCAACCGGCATCAGGCATCTGCAGCACAATGGCACCTCTTCGCCCTCGGAATCCACATCCGTCGGTGCAGACTTGCGCTCCTTCTTCGGCTTCGGTGCCATGAGAGCCGCCTCGATGGCTTCCTTGGGGGTGGTGCGTTTTGCTGCATGGTTCACTGCCCAGGGGAAGGCTTTGCGGTTGAAGCCAGGGTTGGAGCCTGTCCTGTTCTCACCGAACTTGTCCAGGTACTGCTTCAGGGCCTCCTTCTCATCGTTCGAGGGCTCCTTCTCGTTGATCACCTTGGCGGTCGGGCTGGCCACGTCTGACTCGCTGCTTGCTTCCACCTGAATCTCACCCTCGCTGGTGGACTCCGCCAGCTCTTTCTCAAGCTGTACCAAAAGGTCCTTGCCCTTCAGGTTCACCGTCACCCATCCCTTGGCAGGACCGGTACCCGAGACGAGTTCGTAGCCAAGGCGGCCATCTTGCCACTGAACTTCCTTCACTTTGGCACCGGTGGCCAAGCGGCTGTCCAAAATGGTGGAGGACAGGTCCGAGCTTTCACGGACGAGGATGCCACCCTTGTCGGCTCCTCCCACAACCTCCCACATGGCTGCCATGGTGAAGTGGCGAAGAGTCGTCGGCTCTAAGTCTGCGACTGTACGGAACAAGCTGAAGCCGAATCCAGGCGGACAGAACGCAGCTACTCTAGGGTCCTGCAGGTGACCTCGAAGAAAACACGAAACCGTCAGAGTGCATCGCAAGTTGAGTGCACGATGTGCGCGGTCTAAGCTCCCGGCACAAGGGGTGACCGTAGCCGGCGGCTCGTGGGCAACCAGACTTCCCGCCACCAGATGATGTTCAATCCCCTACTACGTACTGTGTTCGACACCGGCAGCTGCAGTCATGTTGTGAAACACGCACAATTGCGTGACATAACTGCGGCCTCAAACGAAGAGTTATATTTCGAACATGGGATGATCATGTTGATTGCTGCTCGTGTCTTTGGGGGACTTGCTCAGTCTTGGCTTGGTGAAAGAGTGCTCGCATTGCGCTTCAAAAAAAATCATGTCCCGCACAGCCTCTCGACATCTCTTTGAGGCATCGGCCAGGGAGAAAGATCAAAATGGCTCCACCTGCCACATGACCCAAACTGAAAGCTGTCAGTCTAGACCTGCTGCGAAAGAAAGCGCTCAAAGCCACTTGATGCACATCGACTCTGCCATCAACAGGTGGCGGACTCTGTGCTCTGAAACCCACGTCATGTGGCACCAGATTTGTGCTGTGGCCGTGGCTTGTTTTCTAGGCCATGTACACAAGCTGGGGTCACATTTCCGGTGCCAACTTGAAAGGCTGGTCTGTGAGACAACTGTGGAAACGCTGCGGACACGGACCCAACGTGCATCTGTCAAACTCCCTTTTCGATTCTTCAACCTTTCCGCGACGCTGCCTGGGGTTTTGAAAATTCGCAACTCGTAGACAGGGGCTGACGATGCCTTGCCAGGGATCTTCGCCGTCTGGTTCGTAGTTGCCTGGTGCAGGGTCAGCTTGCATTCTGACTTGTGGTCCGATTGAATGAGTAGCCGAGTATATAATCGTGTGGCCCTCTTCACGTTTTGTGAAGCATCCCCGGGCTGCCACGTCTTTGAGTAGAGATGACGACTTCCACGAAGCCTACAGCTTTGAAGCTGCAGTTGGCGGGTCTTGTAACCTTTTGAGTTTCCAGGATCGCAAGATTTCGGCGAAGTTGGAAGAAGAGGCTTTCTTTTTTTCAACTACCCATTGATGTTGGAACCAAGGAGTCCCGCAGATCCTGCAGATGGAGCTCTCTGAGAGGATGACGACTACCAAAATTTCAAAATCACTCTCCAAAAGTCCCAACGGATCGTCCCAACGGATCGTCTCTCTCTGCCGGCTCCAGCTCAAGCGCATTTTTCCACGTCTGGCCCGTCGCAACTCCGCTTCAAATCCGGCCAAGCTGCTCTCCGGACACCTGCCGGACCAACATTGCCAGCTGGCCCGCGAACTGCATAAATAGGCGACTGAGCAACTACTGGCTGATTCAAAGGCTCAATCCCCATCCCTGATCCGACGCCTATTCAACTCTCAACCGTCAACCGCTGGCCTTTCATCATGCCAAATCAGCTGGCCTCCCTTGGTACTGGGGCTATGAATGTCGCAGAACTTGCTTGCTCGTATCGGTCTCAAGGATGGTAACGGATGTTTAGGACAGAGCTCAAGTTTGAAATCGCGCTCATTGGTTTACCGACGCTTGAGTCAAAGCTACCCTGTAACGGCTCTTGCGTCAGCGCAGGCCCCCTTCATCGGGTGATCCGGCCCTCTACCATGAAGGCCCTTTTGGCTGGTGTCCTTGGAAGGTTAGGGGGCTACAATGGCAAACCCTGTTCCACAGTCTATGCATTTGACCATCCGGCTACTGTGACCGATATGGGGGCGATAAGGCCGGCATTTACCGACATGCACAGCGCTGCTTGAAGCACGGGATTGAGGTTGGTTCCAAATCAGCCAGTCCAAGCACCGCCGCAGCGTGGGTCTGTTTCCGAGAATTGGAGGTTCCCTGGAGGTCAGTATTACCATGGGGACTGGCTTGTTCAAGGACATCCGCGTGTTTGCTGGAAACTCAAGTGCCCCCAGGATACACCAATCCTTGAATCGGTGAGGTTGAAGAATCAATGGTCAATGGTGATCATTATGACCGCAAGCTTCAACCTTGTCAGGTCATCTGGTTGGATACGAAAGCACATATTTCACAAAAGCTTGTGCTTCTCACCTTTCGAGACGAAAATGTCAACAGCACGGTTCCACACGTCTGAGTGTGTCCATGCTGCATTTCAAGAAACGGATGCTCGCACTACGCACTGCGGCATTTTGAAACTGTGCTTCCAGATTCTGTAGCCCCTCACTGCGGTGCGATACAACATTGATACAACAATCCCTAAAGTGCGAACAGTGGAAGCTGCTCTCCTACCAATTCAATCTGGTAGTGGAGCTGCTTTCCTGGTTGTGCTTATTCTGGGCATCAAACCTGCCCAACTCCGCCTCAACAGGCACTCCTTTCCATGCGAATGCAACAAGCTCTTTGAAGGACAGCTTCACTATACTTGAACTTGAAGAAAGGAGAGATTTTCAGTGCCACCCGAAGGCCTCGCCTCAGCTTGGCAGGGCTCGGCCCGTGCCTTCAAAGCTCGTCTCTGTCCCATTCACCTTCCTTGGAAAGGCCTGGTTGCACTATGACGGTGCTGATTTCGAGTCCACAGCTGCACTGCCCTTGCTTGTGTTTAGAGTGTGACCAGCAACCTGGCGTCGTGAAGGTCTTGGTTTCAAACACCGTTGAAGAGATTTTGGCTTGCTGCCGGTGTCCACCGGCACCATTTGCGGAAAAAAAGCTTACGAATGCAATTGCTGCTTGCAAGACTTGAAAAAGGGGAAAGTTGAAACTTCGATGTGGCATGATGCACGTAGCCCGCTGCCACGATTAAAATCCGAATAAACATGCGGCGACTCTGCCATGCCGTCTGTCACTGTCAGATACTTTCAGTGTGTCTGTCTACCGCGACGTCCCTGGTCGACAACATGCTTGCATCATCACTGTCATCGCCTCACGAAGATGCAGGACTTTAAGGCCATTTAACAACATGTCCAGGACCTCTATGTGGGAACCGAACTGGTCTTCTGCTCTGGCGATGTCAGCCGCACTTCGACCGTTGGAGGTCAGTTGCTCCGGGTCCACATTCGCCAAAAGAAGCAAACGCATCAAAGACGCGTCTCCCAACCTGGCGGCCTCATGAATGGGATAGACAACTTCGCCAGTTAGCAGGGAAAAGCAGCTGCACCCTCTGCACTTCACTCTGGGTTCGGAGACATTCGAGAAGTGGAACTCTTTCAGAAACTCTTTCAGCAGTTCCTGCTGCTTTTCCCGTTCCAGGTGTCGTCTGCTGTTCTGTCTCCGAGTCAAAGACTTCGCTTCCTTGGGCTGCCTGTCTTGGCCGTCATCCCACGCGATCTCGACATCCGTTATGAATAACTCCGGCTTCTCTGGCAAAGCCACGTCATCCAAGCTCGCTCGCCTTAGGTCAGAGAGGCAACATCCCCACAGAATCCCACGCTCTCTCTCCATGATCGACAAGAAGACACCTTAACACAGGTGCCCTGCTGAGGCACGGCTTCGATGGCACTGGAAGCCCGGCCAATGCAAGGCCGGTGCCAAGACGGGAGTCCCCGGACACATGCATGAGTCCCCATGCATTCGAGTCCCAGGTCGACCTTGATCTGCGCGGCTGCGGGGAAAACCACGGGAAAACACCTGGACCGTGCCAACTGCATCCAACCGCGAAAGATGTTTGAGTCCTTGTCGTCGCGACATGTGCCTCCCTGCAGCTGTGTCGCTTGACTGCAACTTCAGCACTTCATGTCTTGAGGTGTTCAGCCAATGCTTGCAACGGCTCGAGCTAATGTCCTAGACCTCTAAGGCGGACATCACCTGTCAACCACTCGTGCGCAAGTGTGGCCACAATTTGTTTTTCGGCATGAGCGGAGATTGCAAACTCCAGGAGTCATTTGCCAGCTGGCAGCAGTCGTTGCCTCGTTCTCAGATCGACGCTGCATGCAGTCCTCTGCAGAGTTAAGCCTATTGACCAGAGTGCGGTGTTTGCACGATATATCCTCGTGCTCCCTGCACCTGCCTGGTGAATGCTAGCCCCAGGGTCCCGGACGGCCTCTGACATGTACAGCACGGCAAAGTCGCAGAGGTCCAGAAGACCCATGTGGATCCCAACTCAAAGAGCAAGACAAGCAGGAACAACTAGAGCAAGTGCTTCTTGCCCATACTCACAATACCCGCGTAATTTCGCGTGCAGTCGTGCACTTTCCTCAACCACATTTCGGAGTCGGGATTCCAATCTCGTGCAGAGGGCATGTACACTGTACATCCACAAGAAACGTAAACTCGGCACCTTGGGCCGCGTTCAGGCTGCGCTTTAGAGCTTGAAACAAGGCTGTCAGCAGGGAAAGGCTTGGAAGCAGAAGCGTGCACGAGCACGAATGCAAGTCTTGGAGGGAACCTTCCGTCTCTGCTTCCAGACTCCGGTCTGCCTCTGCCTTTCCAACTGGCGCCAACTTTACTGTACAAATTATTCCGTCGGCCCATGTCAGGGCGATACTGCAGTGTCGAGCACTGCAGCACAGGGCAGGCTTCCATGCTAGAATTCTGGCAAACGAGCAAGAGCCCCGGCGCTGTGAGGCCTGTGCAGAAGATGGACTCTTGCTTGCCAGCCAAACTCTTCGTTGAGAAAAGAACCTTGCATCCAAAACTTCACGTTCGTCTGTGCGAAATTGCGCGAAGCTTCCACTTGCCTTCCAGACAGCAGAACAAGTGCCTCCAGCATTTGACCCTGAGCAAAACGACGGCAATGACACCAGTCGGCTCTTCTCGCAATCCAGCGGTCAGGCATTAGGCTTCAATCGCCAATGGAAGTTTCGACTATTGGGTAGGTGCCATGGGTCCAAGATCAAAACCGACAACGATATAGTCAAGTCTTGAAAGACGACCGCAAGAAGAGCGCGCGGTGCAGTGGAGAATCATTTGGGTGTTCTGGCTGTGGAAGACATAGGTGTATTCCAGCAAAAGCACGCCCTGAAACCAACCACTGAAATTGAGCCCGACATTCACCAAAAAAATCTAATCCACTCCAGCCTTAAAGGGACGAACGACAAACTCCTAACACTACTGGATACACCAAGCAAGACACCCTGGCTGTGCCAAGTTAGGCCCATCCGCACCCGGGCTGAAACACGAGGCCGATAACTGAGCCGTTGCATGAACCTCGCTAATGCCTTGCCGCAGAGGACCTATAACTAGAAGAGGCAGGCATGATGCAGGATAGAAAGCTTTAGCTTCCGCACCCGCGACATGACATTCCGCGTCTCCGGATCGCGTCCAGGATTGCTCCGCCACGATGCCTTGCCCTTGTCTTATGCAAGCCCGAGTCTTCACGCTTCTCCAGCTCGTTATGGGCTGACCTAGTGTTACCAATCATTACAGACAAGGCCTCACGGAGTCCTAAGACTTTGAGACCCCCGCGCAACATATCCACCACCTCCTTGTGAGAGCCAAAGACATCTGCGTCTCTGGCCACAGCTTCAGCCGTCCGGCCACAAGATGTTTTCTGCTCCGGGTCGGCACGCGCTTGGAGGAGCAAGCGCCTCAGCTCTGATGGGATTTCAATGTTTTTGAACCTGAAGGCGGTAAACCTGCCATATGAGCAGGAGCAACACCGAAAGCACCACAACTCTCGGAGCACTACACCTGAAGTCTTTACAAGCCGAAAAGCAGAATCTCGGGGTCGCCTTCACGGGCAGCGACATGGATGGGGTACAGGGTCTCTCCACCCAACATGGCATAGCAGTGCATCCATGAGGTGCTCGGCTCAAACGCATCCACGAAGCGGTGCTTCTGCAGAAAGCTGTTCAGCTTCTCCTGCTGCCATAGCTTGCTCTGTTGACGCCTCGAGCT